TCTGAACTACCTGAAAAAGATATTTCAAACGTGGTGGTCCAGTGTAGGTAGTATTCTACAATAAGCTGCCGTGGTTTGTGTCTGAACTACCTGAAAAAAGATATCTCAAACGTGGTGGTCCAGTGTAGGTAGTATTCTACAATAAGCTGCCGTGGTTTGTGTCTGAACTACCTGAAAAAAGATATCTCAAACGTGGTGGTCCAGTGTAGGTAGTATTCTACAATAAGCTGTCGTGGTTTGTGTTTGAACTATCTGAAAAATATATCTCAAACCAGTTTATTCGACAATAACCGACAACAGCACTGTATTCTTCAACGTCACACACAACCTCACCCCCAGGTGGTTTCATCTAACGCTCGTCGGAGCAAAGGGCCTGGCTACGAGGCTGGGTTGCACATGCTAAAACTAACCATGATTCGATGGGGTTGCTCATGTCAATCAATCCTTTAGCCACGCCATTTTCGCCACTGGCACGAACTTGGAACTGCTGATGTAGTTTTTCAACGTTCTGATTGATGGCGGACATTTCTTCATTGTACCTGACGTTCTGTCCATCTTGTTGATGGCGTCGAAATACCTGACAAAGAAAATAATAGAATCTCAGTAATATACCCTTCCGGAAAGTACTGCTATCGAGCCTCGTTTTCGTCATTCAGATATTGGGTTTAACCACATGCGCAGAACGGATGAAACGGATAAAGGGATCTAGGATGGCTGATGTCTCGATCAGGAAAACGAAGATTTATTGACACGTAAATGGAATTTGAGCTGGAATTGCAATTTGAGCTAAAAATCTTGAAATCAAACTGCATCCAATGGTATCCAAAGGTACCTAAGTGTACCCAAGTGCACTCAAGTATACCCAAAGGTGCCTGAGTGTACCCAATTTGTACCCAAAGGTACCTAGGTGTACCCAACTGTACCTTGTGCGCGTCATCGGTCCAAGCTTCGACCCTCTTGTACAAATGATAAAGCTGATCTTGACAAGATAATAAATTTCCTCCAACAAATTTCTCTGCTTCTTTATTACACATATCTTCCCAAGCTTTCATATCGCTGAGTAGTTCTTCAATAAGCTCTCTTCCGGGCGCCTGGACTCTGCCTTGATCTGGACTGGAAGAGGAAATTATATATATTGATCATTATTTTCTACCCGTGTTCCCCAAGGTGAACAAACCAGCAAACATTGTTTTCAAACGAAAACAGTTACAGAACTGATAAAGCTGTCCACAATAAATAAAGTTTCGACTTCCTTCTGTAGTATGACGTGAGCAACAAGGGATAACCTTACTGGACATCTAAAGAAATAGAGCTATCCAATGAACTGAAAGACTGTGGATATTTCTTTCATACCTGACAACTCGTTCAAATTCACTTCTCCAACGTTGTAGCTGTTGTACAGCAACTTCGAGATTTTTTTTCAAATTTGATTCATTCTTCATCAACTGATTATTGAATTTCTCAGCTAGATCTTTCCAAGATTGAAAGTTTGTCACGACATCTTGAAGCTATAGAGCAAGCATACCATACCACAACGTTATTTTAACTGAGAATTCTATTTTAGAACCATTCTCAGAGACACGAAAAACAAACTACTTTCATATTATGCTGTCCCGCTCGAGACAAATATTTTTCGTTGAACTCTGCAGTATCAGAATAATATGAAACTATTTTTTTTATAAATGATAAGTTTACCGCAAAGTAAACACTTTTCCAACTTTTTTCTGTCAATAACGTGTGGCGAAAATCAGTATGATCTAAGTGCTGAATTGAGAAAGACGCAGCTCAAACATGACCGAGTTCAAAGCTTATACTAGCACTTTCATTGAGGACAAATTGCTAAAAAAAAAATGAAGCTACACCCGATTCTAACCTGCTCGCTATCCTTTTGACTAAGGCTAAGACTAAAATGTCTTGCTAATTTGGACCAAGCTCTCTCATGCAAATGCAATCGTTTGGCAACATTCAATTTATGATGATCAGTGACTTTCAAAGCCAGTATATACGATGCACTGCCCCACAGATCTCGTTCTTCCGTCAACGTGCGAACGAATATCTCCAAGCGTTTTCTCTGGAGTTCATACAATTCGTGGTACTCCTCCAGCAAGTTTGCATTCTTCTCCGATTCCATTAGAGCTTCGTTGAGCTCTTGTTGTACCTAGAGAGAGGCAAAGGTTTCGCTGTAACATCAGTCGCATGGGAGAAAAGTGATTCACTTTGACCAACTAAGCATCATAGGTTATTTCATTGAGCACTGCCTTCCCTCCCTCCCTCCCTGGGCCAATAAAAGATTGTCCGTACTGCAGCTCCAAGGAGAAGAGTTTAGAACTGATAAAGTTATTCAGTGTAAATAAAGTTAGTTTAGTTTAGGTTTCATCCTGTAAGTAACACTGGATCAATAAGGGCTGATATTTACTGGATCTCTAGGAAGAACAGTTTAGAACTGATAGAGCTATCCAGTATAAATAAAGTTAGTTTAGTTTAGGTTTCCTCCTGTAGTAACACTGCATCAATAAGAGATGACCCTTACTGGACCTCTAGGAAGAACAGTTTACCTGTATTGCCTGCTTCGTCACTTCATGATCATGCGCTTTCACGGCATCGAGTTCACTCGTTAACGCTGAGACATTTGCTTTAAATCTGATCAGTTCTTCTGTCAGTCGTCGGTCTAAGGCTCTTTGAGCCAACACTTCTTGATGAAGACTAAGATTTAGAATAGAAAGGAAATTAGAAAGAAATGTAACTGACTGCATGGTAAGCATCGTTTTGTAAAATATTACCGACACTGGACCACCACGTTTGATCTTTTTCAGGTACATGTAGTTCAGACACAAACACAACAGCCTAGCTACTGTAGAATACTATCTACACCGGACCACCACGTTTCAGATATCTTTTTCAGGTAGTTCAGACACAAACCACGACAGCTTATTGTAGAATACTGCCTACACTGGACCACCACGTTTGAGATATCTTTTTTAGGTAGTTCAGACACAAACCACGACAGTTTATTGTAGAATACTACCTACACTGGACCACCACGTTTGAGATATCTTTTTCAGGTAGTTCAGACACAAACCACGGCAGCTTAATGTGGAATAATACCTACACTGGACCACCACGTTTGGGATATCTTTTCAAGTAGTTCAGATACAAACCATGACAGCTTATTGTAGAATACTACCCACACTGGACCACCACGTTTGAGATATCTTTTTCAGGTAGTTCAGACACAAACCACGAAAGCTTGTTGCAGAATACTACCTACACTGGACCACCACGTTTGAGATACCTTACCTCATGACCTGTCGAGGTATTCTGTCCAAAAGTTGAGCATATCTCTTCCTCAAATTAGCCAAAAGCTCTCCTCTCTCAACACATTCAACAGTACATTGTCGTATAAGTTCATTAAAAACAATATTATACATATTCTGTTCCTTTTTCACTATTTCTAATAAATTATGAATTTGAGTCGGTCCGCTCAACTCTTTGCTTTCATCGTCGATTCCAGCGCGAGAAAGCATAGCTTCGAAGGCGTGCTTTAGTTTCAGGACTTCTTGCCGACCTGTTGGTTTCATGGAGGGGAATATGGTTAAATGTTCTCCATGTTCCTTTAGGTGGGTGGTGTGCAGGTCGTCAGAGAATTCTAGGCCAAGCACCCCGGGGTCTTTGACCAGGTGGTATTCAGCGGGGACCAGGGTGTTTGGGATTTGAGATGCGTCCTAGAATAAAGTAACGATGTGAGTTCTCCGGTCAAAATGAATGGTCAACATGATTTTACCTCGGTCAACACATCACTTGAAACAAAATGAAAACAAAATCGAAACCTTTCAGCCATTCGGGTTAAACCAGCACTAAGTACTAGTTACGTTTTGTTCAAGAACAAACAATGTTTTTGTCGTACGTAAATTGACGTTCTTGTGGACGTATAATTGCGTACTCGCCATGAAATACAGTCTTTCTTTGACAATGTTTCAGCAGATATGCTGAGGAAAAAAAAAAAATTCTATAGCAAAAGGCGTTAAAATGAGGACGGTCAAAGTGACCGGCGAGGTAAAAAAGTGACCGGTCAACAAGCATTTTTGGCCGGTCATTGTCCGTTGACCGGTCGTTATTTTGAGTCCTGCATTCTACGTAATTTCTGCAAATAATCAAGTGAATAGACACTCGGATACTATAGCTGTGAGTGACACTAACAACTTGTCAAACTGGATATCATGGCTATATGTTTTAACAGAAAAAGTTTATTTCAGTGCACTGAGAATCTTAATATATAATTAATTTAATATTTTAGGAATGTATAACATAAAACTCATTTCATCAAGGGTCGATCCTAAGGTAAATACAGATGCCAAAAAAACAAAAAAGGGCACTGCTAGGGGGCACTATCAGGGGGATCTGTGCACCGCAGAAAATTTTGAAAATCAGGTGTCCCAGAATTGCTAAAAATACATTTGTTACATCATTCATTTTTATTTTTATAATTGCATTTCTGACGTCATACCAAGGAACATTGTTATCAACTTTTCTGATATTGTTACCAACGAACTTACTGGCGTAGCAGAGGGAGCATCTTTTGCTGGTTGTAATTGAGAATTCTTGATCGCAGTGCCAGGAACTTCCTCAGTTTTTTGTTTGGTCTTGTCGCCTTTCTTCTCATTCTTATCAGCAAGTGCATCATAAAGAAATGAGATGTCTCTAAAATAAAGAAAATTATTTCCTTCAGAAATGCTATGGCTAATTTGGGACAGGGTGGTTTAGCCTGAAAACAGACCTACGTTTCGCCCGCCCTAAAATTTGTGGCGTCATGGAAAGGGCGACAACTACTTTGAAAAATGACCTGTTTAGTTCGCCCTTTCCGTCGACCCGCAAAGTTTAGGGTGGGCAAAACGTAGGTCTATTTTCAGGCTAAGGGGGGTTAAGATAAGGGGAATAAGGGAGTAAGGTGAGGAGGTGGGGTGAGGGCAAATAAGTGGGAAGACAGTTTAATGTAATAATGGTTCCGCAGTAATTGGCCTAGGCTGTTGCGGTTTCCAGTCGCTAATTTAAGGCAAAGTGTTAAGGGAGGGACGGGGAATATCAAGTGGGTTTGGGATGGGGGGTGTTGAGATGGGGGGTGTTGAGATGTGGGCAGTTAGGGGGAATGAGATGGTTGGATGAAGGAGGAGTGGGGTGAGTTTGAGAAATGGGGGGGAGGTGGCAGGATTCCAAGGGGGATGGGTGGAATGAGGGAGTCAAGTAAGAGGTTAGGGTGAAAGTAATCAAGGAGGATGGGACAAGGGGAAGGGTGGGTTGGAATGGAGAAAATCAAAAAGAATGAGATGGGGGGATGAATGTGGGGATAAGGGGATCAAAGAGGAAAAAATGAAGAGTTAAGGCAGAAATTATGTTATAAAGTGAATGTTTGGATATGATTTTGGGCAAGTGTTAAAAGGGGAAGGTTGGGATATGAACTGTGGGGCAGAGGATGGTGGGGAGAAAAAGTATACGAAAAGAGGTGGGTTGTATATTTTGAGATGAACATAAGATTAATACCTTCCTGCTCCACATAAACATGGAGGGTTTTCAACAAGATGCTTCAACTTGTCTCGACCTTTGTTGTAGTTCCATACATTAGCTGGTCGTTTTCTTATGCTCGGCTTCTACACAATAATTAATACATGGAAATCAAAAATGTTTTGGTATAGACCATAGATGGATTTTCTCCCACCCCAAAAATATTGCCAGTCATTTTCTAGAAATCAGTTTGGTGTGCACCAAACTGGCAAAAAACATATCCTTGTACACCGAAGATATGGTGGGTCACTAACCACTATCGTGCGTCAAATGGTAGTCAAATTGCAGTTAAGCAGACACCCATTTTAAGTGGACACATTTGCGAGGTCTTAAAGGTGTCCGTTCAACTATACTTTTAACAACAAAGCATTTAAAAGTACATTACACACTACATCTTCAATTTATAGTTCAATATACACTTAACAAAACCTCTTCCTTGCTTAATTACCTCAGTCTTTTTAAACTTGCCAGGTGGTCCTAACTGCTCTTTCGACGGTGGCGAAGGAATTTGAGTCAAACTTGTTAAAATGTCAAGCGGGATAAAGTCCTTTTGGACACCAGATTTGGTCATATCTCCTTCCATATAAAAATCCTCATTTCTGCCTTTGATTGCTGGTAAAACATTCTTTGAATGCGAACTCCCGCCTTCTAAATAACTCAAAGCACAAGGTGTTGCTGTAGAGGATTTAAATTTCTGCTTGTTTGCCTCGGCAGGACTTGTTTTCGGCGAGGAACGATTGCAAGGTGGCTCGGATAAATTCAAATTCGAGCCTTCTGCCCAGCTTTCTGACACGGCTACGCTCATTTTTGGCTAAAATAAATCACGATTTAGTCTCTCACAAACCCACCATCGTTTCCATGTCCTAAAACGTGCACAAAACGTGAAAGAAAAGCTGATTTAATCTTTAAACTTTCAGAGTGATTTGTCCACCATATTGACAAGAATAGGAATGTTTCCATAGCAACTGCGACTCTATAACACTGAGCTATATATGTTACTGGAGGACGTACTCATTTTGTGATTCACAGAATCACAGGTTCTACCCCCCCCCCTGAAATTGTATAATAATTCTACCAATATCTGGGGGGTGGTCCACCAGAACACCAAAGACTCATGAAAATAAGAAACAATGAACGACAACCCTTTTTTCACAATCATGAATTTTACGAGGTCATCAAGAAATCTCATACAATCTTTGTTTACAATTAATATTGATCTTCAAATACAACATTATTAATCCACTTTAATTTGTTATGTCTGCTATTTATAAAATAGGAAGCCTCTCTACACCTATATGAAAGTTCATTGTGATTGTTTATTATAATAATGTACGACAGTATGTGGCTTGCTTGAACTCAGGCGACGGTCGGCACAAGCCATTTTGGTCAGAGTTATATTTATGACAACATTGATGTGAGAGACCAAGTCACAGAATAGGAACTTTACAGAAGGTCGACTATGTCTTTGACATAATTGTTGCAATGCTGTCACCATGGTCCTAGCCAATGCACTTACAAGAAATATTCACCCCCTTGAAAATATTAAACATAGTGGACATTCAGGGGAATGAATGGCCCTTGTGAACAATGGCGTGGCAGCAGTTACAATTTTTGGACAAGTCAACTGTCTGTTTGACTCTAGTCTGTGACCTAGCCTCCCAACCAATGTTGCTTAATTAACAATTTGGGATCATCCTCAATCATCACCCAGGTTTATAACAAATCACAGAACTATAAATTTGTCTTTTAAACTGATCTCATCTCAATTATATGTTAATTTTAGGAAAATATCATGTTTTAATTTAATAAGCCAATCTATCTTCCTTGACATACAATACCATAAAAATTTGTAAATTCCTAAGATTGATAATGTATTAAGCTAGATTAGGTCATTCCAAAAAAAAACACTCCCTCTGTTTGAGGAAATTTCTCTGTCCAAAGGGGAAAAACCAACTTTTGATAATAGTAAAATGTACTAGGATGACGGGGGTGGGGGGGGTGTGGGGGGTGGGGCTTGTAGGTGTAGCATTCAATTTCTTTCCATGGGGGAGGGTATGCATATTTTCTGGAATGATCTATTGTATTAAATTTTTAAAAGTTTTGACCTAAGAACAATAGAAATAATTTGACAAGAAAGAGCTCAAGTTAAACTTCAAAATATTCTTGAGATAAAATATATTGAGTGCAAATACCCAGTATTAATATACTTTACAAATACAAGAACAGTTGATTTTAGAAATTTTCATATACATGCATGTGTTAACTTTATTTACTCTCTTTTCACACACTAACAAATCCTTTTCCTTAGTCAACAATTGTCGTTCAAATATATCTACCATTTTTTCTTATAGTCATCAACGCTAACCCCACCAGGACCAAGGGCAACGACCAGCAACAATCCACCAATCACAGACGTGGTTTGGAAAAAGTCGTACTTAAGGAAATCACGTAACGGCCGATTGCTAGGGACCATCCAAAAGGCATTAAAATAGACATTAAGGACAGTAAGCCAACAGAGTAACACCAAGGCAGAAAGCTTCGTCTTGAATCCAATCGTTACGAACACCATTAGGACGGATCCAATAATTATCTCAATGGTTCGGAAGAAGGAAAGGTCGAAGCGAAGCAATGTCAAGTACATGAAGACCAATAGGATACGACCACTCAATTGGAGGTACGTTTTCGGCGTGTTTCCACCAGCGCTTGGCACACCGGCGAACAGGCTCTTCTTTTCCGACTGGCTTTCGGCCAAAAGAAGTAGAAGCCCTCCTGCCAGAGCCATATTCCTGAAGGAGACAGCAAAGGGTTGGACTTAACAGGTTAATAATAACACTGACAAAGCATTTGAACAATAAACACAATTACATAACAATCAACATAAAAAATGCAATAAATCTTTGAATTATACCTCATCAGAAATTTTACATCCCATAAAATACTGTAAGCAACCGTCTGAAACCAACAATTGATTAGAAAATTAGTTATCACTGTTATTAACTTATTGTTTTGATTATTAAAAACAGAGGGTCAATTTCCATGTGAATTTGGTATCCCACAAATCATAACATAACATTGTTTCTTCAAATAGCTGCTAGAAGCTACGAAAATAATTCTAGCACAAAATCTTTGCAGTCTGGAAACAAGTACTCTTGAGATTTGCAAATCAATACTTGCTTTGCTAATGCACACTTTGTATGTTAAACAGTAACCCTTCTGGGACACGTGTATTTTGATACATTCCTACCAAAATATAACCATGTAGCAATTTATACATTATAGCAGAAAAAATGTTAGTATATTTATATAACTTTATACATATTGATGCTTTTAATAGCGAATCCTGTAGCTTTTCTTTGTTATAATGCTTTACAAACATGGACATAAGCAAAAAGATCATAAGATAATGGCCAAAAAAAGCAAGGAAATTTGTAGTCAATTATTAAACTTCAGAAAGGGGCAAGAAAATGAATCTACTGTATTTATCAAATACCACTACATATTAAAGAATTAACATTATTATCTAACTCTGGTATTAACTGCAGGTTGACCATCTGCAGTGTGACATTGTTTAGCAAAGAATTAAAACCCAGCTTAGCTATACTTGCCTGGACGACGACAACAGTCCCCAAAATAGCTACAGCAATTTCGACTTTTTGCCTGGCTAAAACCATCGCAACCCCTCCTAGCTGCCCGAATAAGTTAAAGAGCACGAAAAGCAATCCAAAAACCGTCGAACAGTTCCATGTTTGGCTGAAGTAATCCCTTTGTTCGCCCCATTGAAACCACATACGAACTCCATCTTCGAAAAACGTCGAGACGAGACAAAAGCGAGCAAGATGGGGTAACACGTGTTTCGAATGGCGCAGAATTTGATCGGCAAAATCTTCCGCCTTATTGATGTAGTCTTGGTACGCCGAGTTATTCGCAGATCGAGCCATAACTACGGTCGAAGGTTCACCGTAAATTCGCTGGTAAATGTGTAGATTTTCTCTTTAGATTTTGAAACAATATGTCGACTGTCTTCTCAGAACGCCACGTTAGCTTCGTGACGTCACGTGTATCCATTTTACTTCCGGAAAAACCTTCATTTTCCGGTTTCTACAAAGATGTACTTCCGGTTCAGGTTTTAATAATTATTAAACCACATTTTTAATATTTTAATTGGGAGAAAGTTTAGAATTTTATCTAATTATCAGTACTATTATAGTTTTTCTTATAAAAAAATATTGTTTTACATAGCCTGGTTTTACATTGTCCTCAATGAATTATTAATAGCTTTCTTTCATTCATTTTGTCCGACAACTACTGTCAGACAAGTTACTGTTGGTTGTTCGACAACCACTGTCAGAATTATAAAATTGCAAATCAATCATCAATGTGTGCTAAACAGTCAAAATTATTGCCGGGGGTGGGGGTATACACCCGATTTTTTTTCCCAGGGTTGGGGCTTTAGCCTGGCCAGTTCTTCTTTCCCTGAGATGGGGACATTTCTTTGCAGAAATGGTTAATACCCCATTGGGCAGGGGGGGGGGGAGTTGGCGATGGGTACTGCTGAAATTGATTGACATATTATGTTCTAAAAATTCGTCCACAAAAAACGATCTACTACAAGGTGTATTTTAACCACTATTTTGTAGTTTAATAGTAATTAATTCTAAAATACACGATTAACCCTTCACACAACGTGTAGTTAGCCCATTATTTTAAAGTGCTAGTCTGCGTGGCAGGGTCTCTGGGTTTGGGGGAGGCAATTAAACACTTATTAAGTACCAGCGCTCTCTTGACAAGTGAAATAGAGTAAAATAATAAAGTAGCTAGGGCACAATGTGACTCAAATGTGACTCAAACATTAAAATAAGAATAATTTGGATACACAGTCAATAGTATCACAGGCAAATTAAAGTTTCAATGTGCTCAACTTTATCAAATGCCGGATAATTTTACTTGTCAAGGGGAGAGCACTGGCACTCAATGGTCGGGTTAAATCTGATCTGATCATGCATATTTTGCCATGTACTTTTGATCACAATGGGACAAAAAAGTATGATTTAACAACTTAAGCCTGATCTTTATTGGTACAGAAAAATTATACATATCTTCATATACCCATTACAGTATTACACATGCAATAACATGCCAAAAAGAGATTACCTGAAATATAACCATTCATTTAATAATAACAACTAATTGTGAATGGCACCTTCTAATTAATAATAATAATTCACCATTGTTGACCAAGACACTCTGCATGTATTCACATTATTTTAGTCAAAAATTCTCTCCTAGACTGTAGGTCGTTGAAACCAAGAAATTTGTCCTGTTCTAAGACAATCTTATGCATTATTTTGTATAAACATTTAACAGTGTGTCTAGCTAGTGTTGCACTTACAGGTCCTTATTTACACATACTTTCTTGTGGAAGGTAAAATTTGAGCAACTGCTTTGATCCTAGTTTTATTCATGGCAGGAAGATACTCCCATGTAGAGCCTCCCATGGTGAAAAACTCCACTGAACTGAGATTTTCTTCACATTCCTCATTCGCACCTCCCATGACGACAATGGTGTTTCCAGTAATAACAGCAGAATGTCCAAATCTCTTTTCCAACATGGATGGTATAGCTGTGACCTTGCCCGTCTTGCAGTCATACGTGAAAGCATCATTCACAGCTCGATAATTAAGAGTCTGATTACCTCCAAGAACAACTACTTGATCTCTCCAGCATACTGTTGTCATATTCGTCAAGGGATGAGGTAATGGTGGCATCTCCTTACATTTGTTCTTCTTTATGTTGAACTCCAACACACTATTTAGGGGACCTGTGTGACAATTTTCTCCTCCAAAAATCATGACTTTGTCTTGAACAATCTCAGCACCATGTGAATCTCGTGGTTCAGGCATTCGGCACAACTTTTTCATAGTGACAGGTGAGGTATTTAATTCCAATTCACTGATCATGTCAGACCGTCTTCTTTGGTCACGATTAAATCCACCAATGTGAATGATACGATGTTGGTAAACAACGGTTTGATCACCATTACTCATATAAGGAAGTTCTCCAGGATATTTCATCCATTTCAAAGGCAATTTGTTGAGATCCAAGGTAGATATTGTCTTAATCTTTTGTCCCCCAACAATAAACAACTGATCATTATAATTGAATGATGAAGCACACCGATGCTGTTCGTTCATTGGTGACACCTCAAACCAACGATTCTTCTCCCAGGAAAATATTTCCACACTTTTACCATCAGAAATGTTACCACCTGCAATCAAAATGTCTTCCCTTGGTGTCTTCAACATTTCCTCAGTCAGAGATGGCGGTTTGTTAAGCTGTTCAAGCATATTTAACTTCTCTAACACTTGACTCATCGTCACTTTGACTTCGTCCATGTCTTTGTTCAATTTTGAAACACCTTCTTTGACATCTTTTACCTCGTTCTTAACTTCTTCGATTTCTTTCTTGACTTCTTGCTCACAAAACATTGCTTCCCTCGGTAAGAACAGAACACGAATGGTTTTTAATCGCATAAAAAATTCGTATTGCCGCCACTTCGCGCCATTCCCACAATGTTTACAATTATAATTTTAAACAGCCAATCGACGTTTAATTGTAAATTGTTACCAAGAACCGGATTGGCTGTTTAAAATTAGAATTCTAATGATTCTTATACTCAGGATTTCACTTCCGGGTTTCCCGCGTTTTATTCCTTTTCCCGCGTTTTATCCCCTATTCTGCGTTTTATCCCTTTTTCCAAGTTTTACCCCCCATTCCGCGTTTTCCGTTTATCCCTACTTCTGAGCTGTATATAGTATTATAGCTCAGTGATCCCTACTCATTGTGATCCTTCGTGATCTGGACTCTGGGGGGGGGGGGAATAGAGGTATACAAATCCGCCGATTTGAAGCAAAATCCGCGATCCGAACCAAAATATTAGATAAATCCGCTGTATTAATAAGATCCGAAATCCGTGTAAAACATTTGCCAGCTCCGAAATCTGTACAACCTATTCACCCCCCCCCCCACTCTGGACTGGACTCAGTTTTATGTTTCAAAATGAATACCTTCTAGAAACTGTACACCTTGTACCAACTCAACTACAGCTAAAAATCTCGAATTATCACACCTTGAGTAATTGTTGATGAAGATCCCGGGTTACGGCTCAAAGGCTGCTTGGACATGTTGTTTTTTAGCAAAACTACAAATACTATAAATTATAAATTTTAATAACATTTAACTATTAAGACTGTCCTATATTACAACCAATGTTATTTCCTGACAATTTTGAAATGAATACACCTGCACATGTTTCAAAATTTTCAAAATTCAAATTAAGGTTTTAATTAACCACATTTTTATTTTACCAGTAATTGGGACAAAATTTAGATGTTATCTAATTATTGGTACTGTTATAGTTGCTCTTGTAAAAAAATATTATTTTACATTGTACTCAAGGTATTATTAATTAATAGCTTTCGTTCATTCATTTTGCTTTAAAGCTCTGCTACATTGCTACAAAAATACACATACAAAATTGCCAAAAAATCAACTCAATCCTCAATTCACAATGGAATATTCTGATCATTAATTGGATGGCGCTATAAAATTCATCAAGTGTCCAGCTGTCTATATTCTCGAATAGCCTGATATATCCCTGTCTTTAGCCTAACATTTTCCAGCATAGTGATAGACAACCATCAAATCAAAGACAAACAACAATTCCTTCTCGACTATCTTTCACTGTCCCGCCGAGGAACAACATGCCTAAATCATAACTAAAATGCATCAATGAAACTTCAATGCTCTTCTCAAACTTAAGAGCTTGATTTAGAAGACATTTGGATGTTTGAAGATCATGAACGTACATGTTATCTCCGGAGAAACCGATGATCTTCCGTCTGGGAAACCGGAGCGAAACCTTACCAACATTCTTTAAGGTCGCCTCTTCTTTACTGCTGCCGAGGTTGAACACTTTAACATCTGATCCACAGTGGACAAAGAGTTTCGACTGAATGGAACACTGTATTGATGTAACATTCCCCAAATCAGGGATGGTGCTGATAACATTCCATGTTTTGACATTCCAAACTCGAATCCCCTCACCAGGTGCATATGAAAAGAGATGGTGCTGAAATGTTAAAAGCGATATAGGAAACATGTGACCACTTAGCGTGATAACGCACCCGAGCGTCGCCAAATCCCAGCATTTTATCACTTTATCAGAACCTGCTGTAAAAAGCATGGTCGTATTCGTAACCATACTTCGAACCGCCCCATCGTGCTCGCCTAGTTTTTGAACAAGGCTTAAAGTTAATGCATCCCAAACCAACACTGACCTATCATATGATCCTGAAAAGACTCTGTCCCCGACAGCAACTAGAGCTAAAATAACTGCAGAATGCCCTGCCAACATCGTGACCTTCTCGGCATCCAAATCAATAACTTCAACGGAATTTGCATTGTCCAAGGACTGATTATTAGGACTTGAGCGTGACACAAACAATTTCTTGCCACAAACAGCCATTGCCACAGGTGTCCCCAAGCCAGAGTCATCTCTCGTTAATTCCTGGCAATCTCGTAAGGGCAGCAACTCAAAAACAGGCTGCAAAAGCCTGTCGGCACATCGTACGCTAGGCCATTTAGTTTCATCAAATTCTGGATCATTTCGTTTCACAAACTCCCAAACATTTCGATTAATTTCCGATAGACCTTTCAGTAGTTCTAACTTCTTGCCCGATCCGATGGCTCCGAAACGACTACCGACACCTTTCCGCAGATACGTACCACATGTGTCCACGATTTCTGGCAAGCTGTTCAATCTTGACACATACTTCAAAGAAAGCGAAATGGCCGTATCAATTTTATCATCGAATTCATGCATAGCGGATGCTAGCAATATTTTCGTTGCTAGTAGCTTATCGCTGGTCTCGGCCACAACCCCGAAAGCCATTTGGGCGGCATCTCGTGCTTTTGTAAACTCCTTCTTTGCCTCCACTGGATCTTTCAGAAACAGCTCGTATCCATTTTCCATAAACGAGACAGCGGCAACCAATTCTTTTCGTCTTAACGAGTTCAGTTCTTCGTGAAGCCGTTGGAATTTATCTAAGAGCAGTTTACGCAGCGCTTCGTCCGAAGGAACTCCTGTATTTAAACGCTTTATAAGTCTATTGGAAAGTAGACTCCAAGCTAATTGCAAAGACACACGGACTACAGCTAATTCAGCCATAAAGCAAGATGGAAAATTGGACTAAAACTGTAAAACACAGTTTTAATTAACTAAAATAGCGTTTAAATTGATATATTGCTTCTTTTTGATACTCCTCTGATGTTCGCATTTACAATTTCGCAATATTTGGAAAGAAAATCATTTACATGTACAACAATTTGACGTTTCTAAAAGCAAATGCGCTAAATGGTACTCGTTTTATGGTCGATGATATCCTTTGGTATCCTTATTTATCCACATTACTTTAGAATGGATATTAAAGAATATTGGTGGACAAATATGCTTAATCATAATTTAATCCTCAGAATCCCCCAGTTGGTGAATTTACTACAATAAGATGACGTACAGATACACAAATGCCACTGACTACAAAATACAGTCAACTTCTTGCAAGACAAAATCAACATTTTAGGGAAGGGTGGTTAAATTGCCATAACTCACAAAACTTAATAAAACTTCAAAATATCTTTAAAAATATATTCTCAAATCATATTTAGGTTAATAAAAGACAAGCCAAATCAAAATTAAATGGGTAATTTCGCTCAATGTTGCACAATATTCAATCCGGAGACAAAATAAATAATGCTTCCCACCCTACCCTAGTTCGTAAACCAACGTAAACAAGATCCCAAGCAACAAACGAAGTTTTTTGAAAGAATTTGAATCTATTTATTTATGAAATATTATGTTTTTCTTGATGAAACGAAGGCTTAACCAATAAGCTTTCGTATGACAAACTTACGCAAAAATTAAGGACGTGTAAAATGCTCTGTTAGGCCAGTTAGGGTGTTGTTTTCATGAAATTTTAGTGTTGTTGAATGGGTTTCAATGGACGTCGACAGTGGCTTATGCTTTTATACAGTCGTATGACAAAGAAAGCGGGATTTTGGAAATGGTAAGATGTCTGCAAAAGGCGAAAGGATTTTGCTAGTAGTATTTCTATTTGGAATTACCAGCGTTTGTTTGCGAACATTAGCTGTAAAAGTGGAGCCATATTCTTCTCAAGCAAAAGCAAAACAAAGCATCAATTTGAACCATCCTGAAATTGCATCGACTTTCAAACGCTTCGAAGAAAATGCTCCAACACTTATTAAACTACTGCAAGCAATTTGCGAAGTGTTATTCGCTGGATTGTGGATTTTAGATACAAGTCTAAACGCCTTTCTTTGGCTGTTGAATGAGACAGTCGGCTCTTGCACCGATTTGTGTAGTCGTATTTTCGGTATACTCATTAATGTTGTCAAACTCTTAGAAGCATTTGGTTTTGTGGTCAAATTCTTGCTGGAATTAAACTACACCTTGCTGTCATATATATTTGATACATTTGGTTGCTTACGGGCTGGTCTACACGATGCCGTCACTTTGGTAAAAATAACAATTGCAAACCAAACAGAACATATGTATGAATCAAGCTCCATGGCATTGGAGGGTGTGCAGAATTTATTCCTAACTGCATGTAACCAGACGTGGGTTAATGTCCGATACATTTCCTCCATCGTAACGACCAATTTTACGCCACCGTTCGGTCTGTCGGCTTTGGATTTCAGCTTGCTCGTGTCGATGTTTCTGGCAGGGTTAGAATTCTTTGTCGAGTCGGTTAAAATGAGCGGTGTAATTTTTAAAGATGGGAATATATTCCTACTCAACTATATTTATGGTACCCTTTGTAAAGTTGGTGGAAGTGTTTTGGAATATATTGTTGCTTTTGTTTGTTGTATAAGAGATGCTGTTACCATGGTTACAACTCAGATTCTGTACACAGTGACTTTACCGTTTTATTTTCTTGCTAGCATAGTATCGAATATTTTGCGTATGTTGTATTACTCTTGGCAAGCATTCGTGAATTGGGTTGGTTATATAGATTCATCAATTCGAGAGATAATGTACTCAATATTACAAACTATTGGGCTAGGTTTATCAAGCCTTGTTTGCAATATAAAAGGCGGTTTATACAACCTTATTTACACTATCACAAGATGTTTATCTGGTCTTGTTTACGTTATTATCGGAGCTATATCAAGCATTGTTTATGGTATTACTGGATTTATAACCGCATATATCCCAGGCGGGTTTCTCGGATGCATTGCATTGGCTTCCATTTTAACCGTACTATATTTATGGCATAAAGAGATAACGTCCCTTCTTGTGTCCTCCTGGATCAGCTTGAGACGAATGAACGAAAATGCAAGACCAATTGCAGGTGAACATCAACCATTTAACGACGAACAAGACTTTGACATTCAAGGTGTAGATATAGCAGCTCGAAACATGCCTGAGCCACCTTTAGACAGAGAAATGCCGCAAAACCAAACTAAGCTAAACTATGAACTAGAACGTGAAAAAGACAAACGACTGTGTGTAATATGTCAGGACAATGTCAAGAATATTTTGTTGATGCCGTGTCGACATGTTTGTATGTGTCAACAGTGCCTGAACGAGATAAGACAAGGACGTGTGCAGTTAGCGCAATGTCCGCTCTGTAGAACACAAATTCAGTCAACTTTAGAAGTGTTTGTGTAGTTTTTATGCTTTGTACATATGCGTTGTAAAGGGTTTTATGCTTTGTACATTTTTAAATAAATTAGCACTAAATAATGAAGAAGAAAACAGACAAATGCCGCAAAACCAAACTAAACTATGAACTAGAATGTGAAAAAGACAAAATATTGTGTGTAATATGTCAGGATAATGTCAAGAATATTTTGTTGATGCTGTGTCGACATGTTTGTATGTGTCAACAGTGCCTAAGACAAGGATGTGTACATGCAGTTAGCGCAATGTCCACTCTGTAGAACACATATTCAGTAAGCTTTAGAAGTGTTTGTAGTTTTTTATGCTTTGTACATATGCGTTGTAGAGGGTTTTATGCTTTATACATTTTTAAATAAATTAGCACTAAATAATGAAGAAGAAATTGAACTATTAATTAATGTATAACCATTTCTAATTCACCCCCCCCCCCCTTTCCCTAATTGAGAATTTTATTTACTTTGACTGAAGTTCCCCTGATTTAGCAAAATTATGGCATTACTCAGGCAAAATCAAACTGGTCCCTAAATTAGATTATCTACATATTTAATTAAGATATATCTGAACACATTATTATTTACATTAATAAATATTTTTTACATTAAATCACATGCCTTTATATATTAAATTATTTGTTAAATATATACTTTCAAAAACAAAGAATAAGTTAAGGCCAGCAAAAGGTAGTCTGTTTGCACTGGGCTACCATGTGCCTCCTTTATTTGCAATACTTTGGCTTCACTTCCTTACCATAAATGCCAGTCCAGTTATATATAGAGCTCACTGCAATTCCCCAATCAAACTATCCAACTTCTTCTAGAGATCAGCGAGCTCTGAAAATATTAGTCCAGTTATAAATTGAGCTCACTGCCATTCCATCAAACATTCCAACTTTTTATAGAGATCAGAACACTCTCCAACTGAACATGGTAGTCCAGTTAGTTATACATACAGCTCAACATGCCTAATCAAACTTTTATACAGATCAGTAGACATACGAGTGAACAGTAAGCTTTATATGTTACTGGAATGATATCAGACGTCCCAAAACTCCATCAAAGAATAGTACAAACGGTTGTTTGACGTTGGTTCCGTGGTGGTGCTACCCTGCGACGATTTGCTATGAAAAAGACAAATTGAATCAGGATGTAATGTCAACCTAATCGGATATCATGATCAGTGCCTGTGTTAGCGTCAATTAGGTTCAAGTACGATCTTGAAAAAGCTCAGTAGTTAATTATGCACCTATCAATGTTAATCCCGAGGGAGGGGGGGTCGGGCAAGGGGTGGGGATTTGACATTTTTACAAAAAAAAATGTCAAATGCCACTCCCTCGGGAGAAAATTCCTGGGCAAAATTCCCCACCCCCGGGATGAAATTGTATTACTGAAGTATTTGGTTTCTGGTGCACTCTATATGTCAGGTGATAGGGAAATTTAATATAATTTAAAAGTATAACAAACATAAAGAACGTTTCAAAATAACTTAAAATACTCATTAATAATTTGTATACCTTGCGCCACACCATGGTGTAGTGGACTGGAACACAGGCTAATAAAACA